GTTATGTCCAGTTTTTGTTCTTTAATTTTATTTTTTTTTGTAAGTGGGGTTCCAGACAGGGCTCGTAGGCGGTAATAAAACAAAATGCGGGTTTTTTTTCCTCAAGTCGCGAGCCCAAAATAGGGTCTTTCAGAAATGAGAACAAAAGAATAAAAAAGAAAAGAATCCTCTATCAGGCGAACGAGAAAAAGATGATCATTTTCGAATTCCAAAAAAGTTACTTCCGTTCATAGGAAATCTTTATCTAGAACATTTTAATGTTTTGTGTGTATGTGCAAAGAAAGTTTCTGGGCAATAAGAACGAAATTTTGGGAAATGCGGCTTTTCAAATTCAAAAGCACGGTTCTTTTGCTTGTCACTAGGGGCGTCCTTTCAAATGATGACGTCATCATGATTTCGTTTGTGTAAGAGCGGCCATTTTGTTTTTTAGTATAGTAACATGCTCCCCTTCCCAAGTTCAATTCATTTATCATTGCAGTTCCACAAACCCCGAAAGTAAAGGTCACACTTGTAGTATGCACATTTTGCAGTCAGGTTTCATGTTCACACCGAGTTTCAGTTCATGTGTTTTCCTATTGAAAGAAGAGTTGCGGATAATTATTATCTAGAACGAAAACGACAGACAAAGATCGCAGAAAGAAGAACTGGCACCAAATCGAAAATAGAATCAGTATCGGTAGACTTCAATATGGCTTTTGACGGAGCCTCTGACGTCCCTGGAGTTTATGCACCATATGCTTAGATAATATCTAAAAATAAATGGTTTGAGGCTTTTTTGTCTATGCATGGGCATAATAAATTCTGTTCCTATCTAACGAAAGAATGGCTCATGGTTAGCCTGTATAATTAGAAAACTAGATTTTCAAAATATATAGGCCTGTATATATTAACTTGCATTATATCAGCAGCATGCAGCTAACTGACGTTTTGGCTGTTTCATGACACAAAAGGTAAACTATAGATGCCTGATATGAGACACAACACCTTCGCATCTTCTTCTGGGATTACATTGATTGCTGCACCCCGTGTTTCTAGTCGAATTCGGATAATTTATTATCTTGCATAGATTTAAAAAAACACAGAACCTGATTATCTGAATGTTATGTACAGTTTTTGTTCTTTAATTAAATTTTTTTTTTGTAAGTGGGGTTCCAGACAGGGCTCGTAGGCGGTAATAAAACAAAATGCGGGTTTTTTTCCTCAAGTCGAGAGCCAAAAATAGGGTCTTTAAGAAATGAGAACCAAAGAATAACAAAAAAAAGAATCCTCTATCAGGCGAACGAGAAAAAGATGAGTTTTTCCGAATTCCAAAAAAGTTACTTCCGTTCTGAGGAACTCTTCATATAGAACATTTCAATGTTTTGTGTGTATGTGCAAAGAATGTTTCTGGGCAATCTGAGCGAAATTTTGGGAAATGCGGCTTTTCAAATTCAAAAAGCCCGTTTAGTTTGCTTGTCACTAAGGACGTCCTTTTGAATGATGACGTCATCATGATTTCGTTTGTGTAAAAGCGGCCATTTTTTTTTATTATAGTAAAATACTCCCCTTCCAAAGTTCAATTCATTTATCATAGCAGTTCCACAAACCTCGAAAGTAAAGGTCACACTTGTAGTATGTTCATTTTGGAATCAGGGTTCATGTTCACACCGAGTTTCAGTTCATGTGTTTTCCTATTGAAAGAACAGTTAAAGATATTGTCCATCATTTTTAATTTGTGCATTTTGTTCGTTTGAAGCAACAAAAGTGTTCAAAATCTAATGAAGAATGCTAAACAACTAACCTGATGAAGTTTCAGCTTAGCTTCAGCTGTATATTCCGAGAAAAACAGCATTCTAGGATTTCAATTTCAAATCAAAAGTTGCTGAATCATGTTTTGAATTGTTTTGAATTGCAGCTATACGCGACGCGCCGAATAACAAAAGGAACTACTAATTTAAATTTTCCTACGGTGCGTCTTAACCGTTGGAAAGGCCTTCTTTCGTTGATTACTTCAAAATGACAGCTTGCCAGAAAGAATTATTTCACAGGAAGTTTAGTCCACTTGCTATCTGTCAACCAAGTATTTTTTCAACAATAATACGCCGGTTACTTTTTCAGATGGCTGCAAATGATGGACTATAGCTTTAAGGATTATTATTATCTAGAACAAAAACGACAGACAAAGATCGCAGAAAGAAGAACTGGCACCAAATCTTGCTGATATCTAAGGAGCCAAGAGGTTCCGTCCGAGGGTTGGTCAACCGTGTAAGAATCACAAACGCCGCAGTTTACTTGCTCTAAGCAAATGGAAGTAGGTATGAAGCCCGGGAGGGGACAGGGTGGATTTTGTTTTTGGCATTTGCTAATTCGTTCGCACGAATTCCTAATTCGTTCGCACGAATTACTAATTCGTGGGAACGAATTAGTAATTCGTTCGAACGAATTAGTAATTCGTTCGCACGAATTCCTATTCGTAATTCGAGGGAACGAATTAGTAATTCGTGCGAACGAATTAACAAACTCCAGTAATTCGTTCGCACGAATTAGCAAACTCCAGTAATTCGTGCGAACGAATTAGTAATTCGTGCGAACGAATTAGCAAATGCCAAAAAAAATTTCCACCCTGTCCCTTCCCGGGCTTCATAAGTAGGCCTACATAATAGTAAAAGAACGTGGTCATTCTTTAACTAAAATCGCTTGTAATTTGATACTGATGATATCATTGCAGGCATCATTGTAATATGCATATACACCTCAGTATATGAAGAAGATTGGCGGTGAATTTAATACTGTCCGGATAAGAAAACAAAGAGAGAAAACTCGAACAATTCCAAAATGGTGAGCAGCAGTGGCGTAGTCACGGGGGGGGGGGGGGGGCGACCCCCATGAAACCTTGTCGCCCCCCAGTCGCCCCCCCCCCCCCACTGAGATTTTGAGTTCTTAAAAAATTATCATTGAACTAAATCTAAATAGTCGCGAATGATCCACATGATGACCACTGAGAAACGACCCTTCGACCGGCGACCGCGGACCGTAAGCTGACAACCGGCGTGACATAGCGCATAATGATAATCTAAAATGCGTTTAAACACCCACTGCAGCACTGCTCGCTCACACCACGGAACACGTATTAAAGACGGGTGGTCCGTGGGTCACACAGTTTCAGTCAGCGATATCACGCGAATCGGCCACGCACAAACTTTTTCCTCCATTCATATAAGCTAAATAATAATAATAGACCAATTAAAATTCCTTGAAATCAGTGGCGTAGCCACGGGGTTGGGGGTGGGGGGGGGGGCGTGGGGGGGACAGCCCCCCATGAAACCTTGTCGCCCCCTCCCCCCCCCCCCAGTCGCCCCCCACTAAGATTTTGAGTTTCTAAAAAAAATTATCATTGATCTATATGACGCCATGGGCGTCAATCCTGGGGGACAGGGGGACTGGTCCCCCCCCCCTACTTTTTGAAGGGTGGGGGACACAATATCAAATGCCCCCCCCCCTCCAGATTTTTGAACTCACGTCTCATTTACAGGGCCCTATTATGTTCTACAATGTATCTTTTGCTTAGAAAATATTGGTTAAAGTGGTCAGAAATTGCCTCAGATAGCACCACAGAGCATTTAGAATCCAACATTTTTCGGAGCTCAGAATACCGATAGCTGATTCAATGACTCCAACCTCGAAAACGATGTTCAAATTATTATCTTTTGCTAAGAAAATATTAGTTAAAGCATGGAGGAAAGTGGTAAGAAATTGCTTCAGATCACACCACAGAACATCTAGAATCCACGCCGTAAGGGCTTCGCGCTACGCGCTGGAATCAGTTCTGATCAAGGTATGTCCCCCCCCTCCACTTTTGAGAAGCGATTGACGCCCCTACATGACGCCCTCCCCCCCCCCATGAAATGTTCCAGCCCCCCCAGCGCCCCCCCCCCCCCCCACTGAAATATTCCTGGCGACGCCACTGCATGTCTGTAAAAGTCATCCTTGTTATTTGATTGTGTTTTCAAACCCTTTCCTCTTTACTTGCATACTTGAAAAGGTATAAACAAAATTGGTCACGAAAAAGTAAAAGCGCCACGCTTTAAACAGCGCCCCCCAAAAAAGATGGTGTCCAAACAATATTTGCGTAGGGCGTGGATTATATATTTTTTTTTAAAGATATTGTCGTAGCATATGTTGCATAGATTCTATGGACGTGAGAGGCTCTGTCAAGCACCATATTGAAGTTTATAGATACTGACTCAAATTGTGAGAATCCATGTGCAGCACCAGAAATGCGCTTCAAAAATTTAGACTGTGTCTGTCGCTTATCAACCTCCATTGGCGCTATGGCCGAGGCAAAGTATAGTCTGTGTTCTTCTTTTATAACGCCTCAGCCGCACATATTCTGACTATTTTCAACAGATATCTGATTAAACAAAATCCAATTCAAATTTCCCAGTTAAGGCATGTATTTTCATATAAGCAAAGCCAATAAAACAATCATATATTATATTAAAACAAAAGAAAAATAATTTTCCTCGAAACGGGTCAAGGGATGAAGATAAAAACCTGGTATGCACTTGAAATCATGACCGAAAACTTCCTTTTTTGTCACCCTTTTCATCCATAATTTTTGTCAGTTTAAAGATACCTGTTGATTCCATGGCTTAGGTCTACATCCTTCAAATTGCCAGAAAATGACCAAATTTAAAAATAGCACCCCCCCCCCAAAAAAAATACTTATAATGTTCGTTCTATCTAATGTTCGTTCTATACCGTGTATAACCAATGATCATTACTAATTGCATCCGACAATCGCTTATGCGCATGCGTGTAATAAATCCATTTTATGACTAATGGTCCACCGGGGGAGGAGCGGGGTGTTTACCTTTTTTTGCGTATACGATGTGCATGATGTGTACAAACATGAACAACGCCACTAGAGTCACGTGGTCTTTGATCTTAAACATCTGTATAGATGTACGTGTTTCAACAAACTGCCAATAGATGACGGGTCTGTGACATTTGAACCCAGCTACTACAAAGACGTGTACTCGGCGCTGTTGTGGAGCATTCGTTCAGTAGACATCAAGTTAAAAGCATCCAGTGCATTTCCGCCTCCTGACTTTGCTTTGGTTTTCAAGTCTGTTTGAACCTCAAATGTAAGCTTTGGATAAACGTGGCCAGATTCGTTATGTCAGTTGCTTGGAAAGAAAAAAGCCCTGGCATTATTAGATGTGTTCGTGATTAACGATGATCTGTCACGGATGTACATTGATACGACTTACACTGCTGCTTCTGTGCGAACTTCATTGAAAGTACAAACCGCGCAACAGCCGAGTTAATCTGCGGTGGGGGGGGGGGTGACACAATTTTATGTAAAAGGTTCGCACTGGTGTACGTCTCACATGGCGATACGACCATCACTGCAAGTTTCTTACTGTCATTCGTTTTCTCCCTCACTTTCTAGATTAGCCAGAATGAAGGTTTACATGTGCCTGCTTCTCCTGATGGTCGTCGGATGTGCCTTGTGTTTCGCAGACACGGACGGTAAGTTAATGTTTCATTATCCCTACGGTTCCGACATATATAGCAGTATCCTTGTAGCCACATTCGCACAGCCCCGTGGATATAATGCTTGGAGTAATATATTTTGATTCAATTTTGGATTAATTATTATAGTCTGTAGGCCTACCCACATTAAAATGAAAGTTTAAATTTCTTCGTAGAGGAAAGAACACCCACTGTCAACATTTCTCAAATCCCTTTGCTTAATTTCTGATGATGTTCCATCTTATTAAAATTTAGAGAAAAAAAACTTAGCTTACACACCGACTTTAAGCCAAAAAAAATATGTCTCCGGTTTCTGGTATGGAGCTTGCCCAAAAAGTGGTGCGGCGACGCGGCTTCTTTTGTTTTTTTTACCTGATGTTTTTGCCTCAAATGTCGGCTGATGACTGCAAATGGTGCCCAACTAGACTTGGTGCAAATACATGGGAGTCCAGAGAAGCCACATAAAGCTTATTCTCGATCATAACCCCATCTAAAAACACGTTCAAATTGTGCAGTAGCAGGATTCCAGTCAAACCAGTGAATTTGGCGGTTTTGAGACATCATCTTTCATTGAAAAAAAAACCTTTTTCATTTTGCCGACGCGCATGGCTACGGTGACGCGCGCGCATACCAGAAACCGGAGACTTTTTTTTTGCCTTAAAGAGGGCCGTAGGATGACCACTTTCGGCTGTTGTGCATTTCCCCCTAAACGTATGAGACTTGCATGTTCCAAGGATTTTTAATAAAAAAAAAATTGATACTTTTTTTCCTTCACTTTTTTACACTATGACACTTGAATCGGTTATTTTTAATTCAATATAATGTGAAGATAAGGTCGTGTGCAATTCATGTTACATTTGAGTGCACTGCATGAATTCAGCACCAAAATCCCCTGTTTAATGTCATGCAGACCTTCTTGCTGAGGAGTTGATGCAAGAACTGCAATCTCGCGAGATAGTGAAGAAGACATGTAAGTTCAGTGGTCTTGAGCAATATTTTTTCATGATAACTTGACGCAGGTTGGCACTTAACGACATGAATCGAAGCTTACTATTGAAAAGACGTGTTTGGTTTGAATGCTGTCCCGGCGAACGCTGTTGTAAATCTTGCAAATATCAACAAAGTTTTGTTCATTTCCATGCAGAAGCTCTCATATTCACGACAATTTCCTTGCTAAATCAAAAGGGTTCTCTAATTGCATTGAAAACATTAAAATGTCGTTTTTGTGCACAGTGCACACAGTATTCGTTTTTTTTTAAAATGCATTCAAGGCGACATTTCCACTCTGTGCCGTCTACTTCCAATGAAATATCTGACAAACATCGAATACAATCATCGAATTAAGAACATAAGATTAAGTATTTTTTCTACTCCGTTTATAGGCAATCAATTTATACTGTCAAGAGTTTATTCGCAAATATCAACATTGATTATTCACACACTGAGTGTACGATTCTCTATTCACAGGGTGTTGTTCTTGGCATTTGCCGCTAATTAAATCAAGTCTATCCTGTCGTTTGCCTTACTTAAAATTTGCATTGTTTTGAACCTGAAGACAAAAAAATATTCATATTTTATTCTTCATTGCCTTGTAATTCTTTGAACTGGTCCTTTTATTATTTTGGTTAATTTCTGTTCACTCGGAACATGTTGAAATCTGAAAGCAAAGGGCAAAAAAAATTGCAGGCCGACATTTGAATGAATTATGTGTGTCCATTGAGAAAATTTAACTCTTGGCAAACTTCGTAATAAACTGTCGTTGACGAATTTGAAGAAAAGAATGCCATTTGAAGTTGAACGAAATTATTTGTCATGCCATCCATTGTTTAACTTAGAGAAGCAAATATGTTTGTTTCTGGGACTAAATGTATTAATTTTCAAATAAAACTAACTGAAAGGGCCTGGTTTGAAATTGAACCATCTTTTTTAAGAGTGAGGCGGGGGGGGGGGGTGTTGAAATTGGCCGGACTCCGATATTCTAGAGTTACATTTCTTCAACATCATTCTTCTGAGAAACAACGATATCTGAAATTTGGAACTGGTCCCCTTTTCTTTGTGGTATAAAAAGAAATAGTTTGAGGCTTTTACCTACATGGTAATTTGTCTTGGACGAGTGTAAACATGGACAGTGTTCTTTGAAGCTCCCTTCAACAGGTTATCCACACGAATTCTTCTCTACGAGTCATTCACTACCATGTTGGTTTTCTGTTTCAGATTGCACATCTGAGGCCGATTGTTCTCGTTTAAGGACATGTTGGTTTGGCCGGTGCGTGGATTACTGACAATCAACATGAATGACTTAAACCATGGTAAGCCCATCATTATCGATAGTTTGTAACAATTCGTAAAGATGCTTATGAAAATTGTGTAAATGGAGGCGAAATATCTGTGGTACTGTAATAGTCACGTGGTATGTCAGGTTGTTTATTGCACGCTATATTGCAGCACCCTATGTCTTATGGGAAGCTTAGGGGGTCGGGCCAATTTTTTTGGGGGGCACACTATCATAGCACAGCGCGATTTTAGGGCATTGGTCGGCGGCCCGGGCTTGTACGCTCAACCGGCGGTCACCGGTCACGTTACCGTCCATTGCACGGTGAAATTGCGCCGGCGTGGCCGGCAAGACTTTTCATGCAAGACGGCCAGACCTTATTTTGCACTCGCACTTGTTTTTCAAGTATATGTTTAGTGTTGCGAAAACTCTTTCTTTGCGCGGATGCAGAACTGGCCTGTAAATAGGCCCAGAATTGCCTGCGCGGGCCAAATCACATGTTTGTTCACTGCAAAAACTGTAGTGTTAATTTAACACCATTCGGTATCTATATAGGACAACACCAGTAAAATATAACACCATATGGTCCTATATAGCTACCAATGGTGTAAATTTAACACTGCAGTTTTTGCAGTGTGCTCTCAAATTCTTTGCTATTAGATACATGTGTCGGCCATGCACTTGAAGGATTTTTAGAAAAGATGGGTGGAAGCTGTGCACAGGAGTATGAACTCGTATATTTCTGTGAAATCCGCATGAAATTGGGCCTTAAAATTGCTCAATTTGGCAATGGGGCGCAGCCAGCATTTTTCAAAAATGGCCGTGGGCCACAGGCAAACTTTTCGGGGTGATCATCTTTGGATGGAATTGTCTCCCTAATGTCATGGGATAACTTAACAAAAATGTGAGCGGAAAATGAAAGACTCTGAAATGAGCTTTAATTTGATAGGTGTCGCAAACACCTTGGATAGATGTGAGTATGTTTTTATCAATATTTTTCATAAGTACGTGTAGTTATCAATGAGGTCTATGAGAGTCAATTTGCAGGTTTGCACCCTTAAAGGGAATATACAACATTTGAAAACATAAAAAACCACAAAAAAACTACCAAATTATCACGAAAAAACCTTAATGGAGTGTAAGTGAATGCCAGTCTAAAGCATCCTGTAAAATCATGGCACCGGTTGTGTGGTCATTTTCAAGAAAATTGCTATTTCTGTATTGATTTCCAACGCTGGTCGGCCGACCAGCGTTGGAAAAAAACTGGCTTTTTCAAATACTGCTCCTAATTTATCATGTTTAGTTCGTTCGCATTTTCTTTGAAATCGATTGCACACCTGTGAACGGGTGCAAGCCAGCTAGACTGATTTCCAGACCTTACAATTACCCGACATCTATAAATTGCTCCGTTTCAAGTTAGGTGGGGTCAGGGAAACAGACTGCACGAAAATTATTGTTTTTCTTGATTTTTCAGCATCTACGAACCCAAAATGTCAATCAAGTCGGTTTAACAATATTTGCTATAAAGTAATAACCCCCAAAGTCCATAAATTTCTGAAAATTACAGCAAAAGCAAATGGTGTATATTCCCTTTAAGACATTAAATGCATACATAACAATCGTTAGTAAGTCTAAACGTTTGGTCCTCTGAAACGTCTCTATCGTAAGTCCTTGTATAAATCATGTTGTTGTTTTTTCCCTTTTATTTTCTCCATGCAGATCATCAGTGAATGACCGACAGCAAGTCTTTATTTTGATTAAATGTAAATATTTGATATTCATTCGGCTCAGATCTTCTTGTTACAACAAGATTGTCTCAATTTTGTTGTAACAACACTAGGTGCGTGTTCCAGCTTTCCCCCCGTTGATTCCGTTACAGTACTGTTTTTTTGTAAAAGCTGCTCACCGTACATTTTAAGAGTGATATTAAAACCAAAATGAAACAAAAATATATATTATCGATCCATGAATATATTTAACTATCGGCACATTTGAATTTTTCGCAGAACGCATACAAATCCTGAAGATAAATTCTTCTCTTCTCTCATTGAAGTGACACGAATTATGAGCTCGAGCACGGACTTAAAAATTATGTCAACTATGTTATGTCAAAAAAAAAACACGTTAACTTCTAGTTTGTTTCTGTCCGAAATGTTTTTATTCTTGGGTTTTTGGGTATAGGTCTATTAGTGGTGCGTGGTTATCATTTTCCGTGATGATAGGTTAAATCCACTTTTAAAATATTCGTTCATATTCTTCCTGCATGTATCGCATAAGCAACGCTGGGATATGTAGAAACGTTTGCATCCGAGGATTTTTGTTTTGGAAAAGGCGAATCACTTTCTTAGGGTTAGCCACCAATCTTTCTTCATATAAAAATTTGTAATAAAAAAAGCCGTATCCTCTCCGAGTGATCCCCGTTTGCCATTTCCCAGGTGTGTATCGTAACTTTGGGTGTGATCCCTGGCTGTATGGCATACTGGTTTATGGCTTCTGACTAGCGCCCCTCGAACAAAGATATTGACTAATTGGGGAGCCGCCAACATAGGGCTGGATAGCTCAGTTGGTAGAGCACCAACAGTTATCGGTAATCCGGAGGTCGCAGGTCCAAGCCCCACTCCAGTCAATTCCTTTGTTCAATTTTTCAATACATTTAGCCTATAAGTTAGATGAAAAGCTTGTTAAGAAAGCTGGGTCACTACATTTTGGGTTCGATATTTGCATTCCAGTATAAACGTATAGCAATACCATCATAAATAGCCATATGTCAACTATAGTACCATTACCAAAGTTGGGGCGTAAAAGCAATGGTTCTATAATACAGGGAAGAGGTTTACGTGTGATTTTACTTTGTTGCTCAAGACCTAAATCTGAAAGAATACTATTCCTTTGAAAATGATAATTGCTATATCAATGTAAATAGTGCAATTTGGTTGTGTTAAATACTCAGCCATATTGTACCTCTCTGTTACAAATCTCAGATAGGCTGTTCTTGATGGAATTTATTCTAATAACAGGTGTTTGTTCACTTTAAAAGAATATCTTATTTGTTAAACAGGGCTTTAAAATTATTCGATATTAATTGAATGCAGGCTATTTCTCATCCCTTTAGATGTTTCCTGTTTCGTCAACGTAGTGTGAATGATATAGCAAAATAAATTGACTCTTGCATACAAACAAAAATTGTCAGTGCCCTTGAATGCATTCAAAACGCATGTCTGTAATAGCCATCCTTGTTATTTGATTGTGTTTTCAAACCCTTTCCTCTTTACTTGCAAACTTCAAAAAATGTAAACAAAATTGGTCATAAAAAGGTAAAAGGGACGCCCTCTTTATACCCAATTTGTCTGTAAAGGCCTGTGTGCATTATTGTCCTTTTACCATGACCCACACCTAGTAAATTAGTGCGTCTGATTTTGAGGATGTGTGCGAACCTTTGCCGTCGTTATACCGGTTTAAATCCTAGATATAATATTATGGTGTTCCCTTGGGTTGCAAAAGCAATGGGAAGCTCAAGCAAAAATAGGTCATGCTTTGAGAGCATGAGAACACATCTTCTACACAAACAGGAAAAAATATCACGTTTATTGAAACAAATTCACGTTTGTTAAAGCAACGACCCAGTCTATTTTCTGATTACGTTCGCCATAATTGATTGCAATCGTACCTCATTTTCCTCTCATATTTTAATGCAGAAAAGTAATGCTCTGAACAGTGTAGCCATCATTCTTTCCTTAGCTCAGTGCAGAATTTTATTATACCCATGCAAAGACAGAAAAGCAATAAAACATTTATCTTTAGATAAACATATGTTGACGTCTATTCGGATGTCCATCGATTCTCATGATAACGTTTTTGAGTCTGAGCTATACAGTGGCGTAGGAAGTGGTGGGGGAGGGTAAGGGGGTACCCCCGATATTTTGTAACGAGTGCCCTTTTTTCACAAGCACCTTTTTCAGTGAGTGCCCCTAAGTTTTTGAACGACGGTAACTGTTCCACCAAGAAAAGCGCCACGCTTTGAACAGCGCCCCTGAAAAAAGATGGTGTCCAAACAATATTTGCGTAGGGCGTGCATTATATTAATTTTTTTTAGATATTGTCGTAGCATATGTTGCATAGACTCTATGGACGTGAGAGGCTCTGTCAAGCACCATATTGAAGTTTATAGATACTGACTCAAATTGTGAGAAGCCATGTGCAGCACCAGCAATGAGCTTCAAAAATTTAGACTGTGTCTGTCGCTTATTAACATCCATTGGCGCTATGGCCGAGGCAAAGTATAGTCTGTGTTCTTCTTTTATAACGCCCCAGCCGCACATATTCTGACTATTTTCAACAGATATCTGATTAAGCAAAACCCAATTCAAATGTTCCAGTTAAAGCATGTATTTTCATGTGAGCAATGCGAATAAAACAATCATATATTATATTAAAACAAAAGAAAAATAATTTTCCTCGAAACGGGTCAAGGGATGTAGAATAAAACCTGGTATGCACTTGAAATCATGAACGAAAACTTCCTTTTTTGTTACCCTTTTCATCCATAATTTTCGACAGTTTAAAGATACCTGTTGATTCCATGGCTTAGGTCTACATCCTTCAAATTGCCAGAAAATGACCAAATTTAAAAATAGCACCCCCAAATACCCACATACTAATAATGTTCGTTCTATATAATGTCCGTTCTATACCGTGTATAACCAATGATCGTTACTAATTCCATCCGATAATCGCCTATGCGCATGCGTTTAATAATTCCATTTTATGACTAATGTTCCACCGGGGGAGGGGCGGGGTGTTTACCTTTTTGCGTATACGATGTGCATGATGTGTACAAACACGAACAACGCCACTAAAGTCATGTGGTCTTTTCTTTTAAACGTCTGTATAGATGTACGAGTTTCAACAAAACTGTCAATAGATGACGGGTATGTGACATTTGAACACAGCTACTATACAAAGACGTGTACTCGGCGCTGTTGTGGAGCATTCGTTCAGTAGACATCAAGTTAAAAGCATCCAGTGCATTTCCGCCTCCTGACTTTGCTTTGGTTTTCAAGTCTGTTTCAAACTCAAATGTAAGCTTTGGATAAACGTGGCCAGATTCGTTAGGTCAGTTGCTTGGAAAGAAAAAAAAGCCCTGGCATTATTAGATGTGTTCGTGATTAACGATGATCTGTCACGGATGTACATTGATACGACTTACACTGCTGCTTCTGTGCGAACTTCATTGAAAGTACAAACCGCGCAACAGCCGAGTTAATCTGCGGTGGGGGGGGGGGGGGGGTTGACACAATTTTATGTAAAAGGTTCGCACTGGTGTACGTCTCACATGGCGATACGACCACCACTGCAAGTTTCTTACTGTCATTCGTTTTCTCCCTCACTTTCTAGATTAGCCAGAATGAAGGTTTACATGTGCCTGCTTCTCCTGATGGTCGTTGGATGTGCCTTGTGTTTCGCAGACACGGACGGTAAGTTAATGTTCCATTATCCCTACGGTTCCGACATATATAGCAGTATCCTTATAGCCACATTTGCACAGCCCCGTGGATATAATGCTTGGAGTAATATATTTTATTCAATTTTGGATTAATTATTATAGTCTGTAGGCCTACCCACATTAAAATGAAAGTTTAAGTTTCTTCGTAGAGGAAAGAACACCCACTGTCAACATTTCTCAAATCCCTTTGCTTAATTTCTGATGATGTTCCATCTTATTACAATTTAGAGTAAACAAACTTAGCTTACACACCGACTTTAAAGAGGGCTGTAGGATGACCACTTTCGGCTGTTGTGGATTTCCCCCTAAACGTATGAAACTTGCATGTTCCAAGGATTTTTAACAAACAAAAAAAATTGATACATTTTTTCTCCACTTTTTTTCATTTTTTTTACACTATGACAGTTGAACCGTTTGAAGATAAGGTCGTGCGCAATTCATGTTATATTTGAGTGCACTGCATGAATTCAGCACCAAAATCCCCTTTTTAATGTCATGCAGACCTTCTTGCTGAGGAGTTGATGCAAGAACTGCAATCTCGCGAGATAGTGAAGAAGTCATGTAAGTTCAGTGGTCTTGAGCAATATTTTTTCATGATAAGTTGACGCAGGTTGGCACTTAACGACATGAATCAAAGCTTACTATTGAAAAGACGTGTTTGGTTTGAATGCTGTCCCGGGGAACGCTGTTGTAAATCTTGCAAATATCAACAAAGTTTTGTTCATTTTCATGCAGAAGCTCTCATATTCACGACAATTTCCTTGCTAAATCAAAAAGGTTCTCTAATTGCATTGAAAACATTAAAATGTCGTTTTTGTGCACAGTGCACACAGTATTCATTTTTTTTCAAAATGCATTCAAGGCGACATTTCCACTCTGTACCGTCTACTTTCAATGAAATATCTGACAATCATCGAATACAATCATCGAATTAAGAACATAAGATTAAGTATTTTTTCTACTCCGTTTATAGGCAATCAATTTATACTGTCAAGAGTTTATTCGCAAATATCAACATTGATTATTCACACACTGAGTGTACGATTCTCTATTCACAGGGTGTTGTTCTTGGCGTTTGCCGCTAATTAAATCAAGTCTATCCTGTCGTTTGCCTTACTTAAAATTTGCATTGTTTTGAACCTGAAGACAAAAAAAATAAAAAATCTGAAAGTCAAAAAGTGAATGTAATGAATCTTCAATGGAAATGAAAACAAGATGTTTTATTCTTCATTGCCTTGTAATTCTTTGAACTGGTCCTTTTATTATTTTGGTTAATTTCTGTTCACTCGGAACATGTTGAAATCTGAAAGCAAAGGGCCAAAAAAATTGCAGGCCGACATGTGAATGAATTATGTGTGTCCATTGAGAAAATGTAATTCTTGGCAAACCTCGTAATAAACTGTCGTTGACGAATTTGAAGAAAAGAATGCCATTTCAAGTTGAACGAAATTATTTGTCATGCCATCTATTGTTTAACTTAGAGAAACAAATATGTTTTTTCTGGGACTAAATGTATTAATTTTCAAATAAAACTAACTGAAAGGGCCGGGTTTTAAAAAAAAAATAAGTGTGGAGGGGGGTGTGCCGACTCCGATATTCTACAGTAACCTTTCTTCAACATAATTCTTCTGAGAAATAACGATATCTGAAATTTTGAACTGGTCCCCTTTATTTTGTGGTATAAAAAGAAATAGTTTGAGGCTTTCACTACATGGTAATTTATCCTGGACGAGTGCAACATGGACAGTCTCTGTGAAGCTTCCTTCAACAGGTTATCCACGCAAATTCTTCTCTACGAGTCATTCACTACTATGTTGGTTTCTGTTTCAGCTTGCACAGAGACTGGTCCCGGTTGTATTTGCATATGCGTTATGCGCTGGTGCCGAGATCTTTCTGAATGAATTAAACCATGGTAAGCCCATCATTATCGATAGTTTGTAACAATTCGTAAAGATGTTTATGAAAATTGTTTCAATGGAGGCGGAATATCTGTAGTACTGTAATAGTCACGTGGTATGTCACGTTGTGTATAGCACGCTATATTGCAGCACCCTATGTCTTATGGAAAGCTTAGGGGGTTGGGCCAATTTTGGGGGGCACACTATCATAGCACAGCGCGATTTTCACGCATTGGTTGGCGGCCCGGGCTTGTACGCTCAACCGGCGGTCACCGGTCACGTTACCGTCCATTGCACGGTGAAATTGCGCCGGCGTGGCCGGCAAGACTTTTCATGCAAGACGGCCAGACCTTATTTTGCACTCGCACTTGTTTTTCAAGTATATGTTTAGTGTTGTGAAAACTCTTTCTTTGCGTGGATGCAGACCTGGCCTGTAAATAGGCCCAGAATTGCCTGCGCGGGCCAAATCACATGTTTGTTCACTGCAAAAACTGTAGTGTTAATTTAACACCATTCGGTATCTATATAGGACAACACCAGTAAAATTTAACACCAGATGGTCCTATATAGCTACCAATGGTGTAAATTTAACACTGCAGTTTTTGCAGTGTGCTCTCAAATTCTTTGCTATTAGATACATGTGTGGGCCATGCACTTGAAGGATTTTTAGAAAAGGTGGGTGGAAGCTGTGCACAGGAGTATGAACTCGTATATTTCTGTGAAATCCGCATGAAATTGGGCCTTACAATTGCTCAAATTTGCAATGGGCCGCAGGCAACATTTTTGAAAATGGCGATGAGCCACAGGCAAATTTTGGGGTGATCATATTTGGATGGAATTGTCTTCCTAAATTCATGGGATAACTTTACAAAAATTGAGTGGAAAATGAACGATTCTGGAATGAGCTTTAATTTGATAGGTGTTGCAAACACCTTGGATAGATGTGAGTATTTTTTTATCAATAGTTTTCATAAGTACGTGTAGTTATCACTGAGGTCTATGAGAGTCAATTTGTAGGTTTGCACCCTTAAAGGGAATATACAACATTTGAAAACATTAAAAAACCACCAAAACAAATACCGAATGATCACGAAAAAACATTAATGGAGTGTAAATGAATGCCAGTCTAAAGCATCCTGTAAAATCATGGCACCTGTTGTGCTGTCATTTTCAAGAAAAGTGTTATTTCTATATCGATTTCCAACGCTGGTCGGCCAGCGTTGGAAAAAAACGGCTTTGTCAAATACTGCTCCTAATTTATCATGTTTAGTTTGTTCGCATTTTCTTTGAAATCGATTGCACACCTGTGAACGGGTGCAAGCCAGCTAGACTGATTTCCCGACCTTACAATTCGCCAACGTCTATAAATTGCTCCGTTTCAAGTTAGGTGGGGTCAGGGAAACAGACTGCACGAAAATTATTGATATTCTTGATTTTTTCAGCATCTACGAACCCAAAATGTCAAACAAGTCGGTTTAACAATATTTGCTATAAAATAATAACTCCCAAAATTCATCAATTTCTGAAAATTACAGCGAAAGCAAATGTTGTATATCCCCTTTATAACATTGAATGCATACATAACAATCGTAAGTAAATTCTAAACGTTTGGTCCTCTGAAACGTCTCCATCGTAAGTCCTTGTATAAATCATGTTGGTGTTTTTTTCCCATTTATTTTCTCCATGCAGATCGTCAGTGAATAACCGACAGCAAGGCTTTATTTTGATGAAATATAAATATTTGATATTCTTTCAGCTCTCTTCTTTCCTGATAAGATTGTCTCAATTTTGTTGTAACAACACTAGGTCCGTGTTCCAGCTTTCCCCCCGTTGATTCCGTAACAGTACTGTTTACGTGTAAAGGCTGCTCACTGTGAATTTTAAGAGTGATATTAAAACCAAAATGAAACAAAAATATATATTATCGATCCGTGAATATATTTAACTATCAGCACATTTGATTTTCGCAGAACGCACACAAATCCTGAAGATAAATTCTTCTCTTCCCTCATTTAAGTGACACGAATTATGAGCTCGAGCACGGACTTATTAAAAATTATGTCAACTATGTTATGTCAAAAAAAATATACGTTAACTTCTAGTTTGTTTCTGTCCAAAATGTTTTAGTTCTTGGGTTTTTGGGTATAGGTCTATTAGTGGTGCGTGGTTATCATCTTCCGTGATGATAGGTTAAATCCACTTTTAAAATATTCGTTCATATTCTTCCTGCATGTATCGCATAAGCAACGCTGGGATATGTAGAAACGTTTGTATCCGAGGATTTTTTTTTTGGAAAAGGCGGAACACTTTCTGAGTTGGCAAACTTGTTTGTATTGATTTCAAATCAAAAAAGACATTGAGGGTTAGCCACCTTAATCTTTTTTCATTTAAAAATTTGTAATAAAAAAAGCCGTATCCTCTCCGAGTGATCCCCGTTTGCCATTTCCCAGGTGTGTATCGTAACTTTGGGTGTGATCCCTGGCTGTATGGCATACTGGTTTATGGCTTCTGACTAGCGCCCCTCGAACAAAGATATTGACTAATTGGGGAGCCGCCAACATAGGGCTGGATAGCTCAGTTGGTAGAGCACCAACAGTTATCGGTAATCCGGAGGTCGCAGGTCCAAGCCCCACTCCAGTTAATTCCTTTGTTCAATTTTTCAATACATTTAGCCTATAAGTTAGATTAAAAGCTTGTTAAGAAAGCTGAGTCACTACATTTTGGGTTCGATATATGCATTCCAGTATAAACGTATAGCAATACCATCATAAATAGCCATATGTCAACTATAGTACCATTACCAAAGTTGGGGCGTAAAAGCAATGGTTCTATAATACAGGGAAGAGGTTTACGTGTGATTTTACTTTGTTGCTCAAGACGAAATCTGAAAGAATACTATTCCTTTGAAAATGATAATTGCTATATTAATGTAAATAGTGCAATTTGGTTGTGTTAAATACTCAGCCATATTGTACCTCTCTGTTACAAATCTCAGATAGGCTGTTCTTGATGGAATTTATTCTAATAACAGGTGTTTGTTCACTTTAAAAGAATATCTTATTTGTTAAACAGGGCTTTAAAATTATTCGATATTAATTGAATGCAGGCTATTTCTCATCCCTTTAGATGTTTCCTGTTTCGTCAACGTAGTGTGAATGATATAGCAAAATAAATGGACTCTTGCATACAAACAAAAATTGTCAGTGCCCTTGAATGCATTCAAAACGCATGTCTGTAATAGCCATCCTTGTTATTTAATTGTGTTTTCAAACCCTTTCATCTTTACTTGCAAACTTGAAAAAGTGTACACAAAATTGGTCTTGAAAAGGTAAAAGGGACGCCCTCTTTATACCCAATCTGTCTGTAAAGGCCTGTGTGCATTATTGTCCTTTTACCATGACCCACACCTAGTAAATTAGTGCGTCTGATTTTGAGGATGTGTGCGAACCTTTGCCGTCGTTATACCGGTCTAAATCCTAGATATAATATTATAGTGTTCCCTTGGGTTGGGAAAGCAATGGGAAGCTCAAGCAAAAATAGAGAGCATGAGAACACATCTTCTATACAAACAGGAAAAAAATATCACGTTTACTGAAACAAATTCACATTTATTAAAAGCAACGACCCAGTCTATTTTCTGATTACGTTCGCCATAATTGATTGCAATCGTACCTCATTTTCCTCTCATACTTTAATGCAGAAAAGTAAAGCTCCCAACAGTGTAGCCATCATTCTTTCCTTAGCTCAGTGCAGAATTTTATTATACCCATGCAAAGACAGAAAAGCAATAAAACATTTATTTTTAGATAAACATATGTCGACGTCTATTGATGTCCATGGATTCTCATGGTAAACGTTTTTGAGTCTGAGCTATACAGTGGCGTAGGAAGTGGTGGGGGAGGGTAAGGGGGTATCCCCCAATATTTTGTAACGAGTGCCCTTTTTTCACAAGCACCTTTTTCAGTGAGTGCCCCTAATTTTTTGAGCGACGGCAACTGTTCCACCAAGAAAAGCGCCACGCTTTAAACAGCGCCCCCCAAAAAAGATGGTGTCCAAACAATATTTGCGTAGGGCGTGCATTATATTAATTTTTTTTAGATATTGTCGTAGCATATGTTGCATAGACTCTATGGACGTGAGAGGCTCTGTCAAGCACCATATTGAAGTTTATAGATACTGACTCAAATTGTGAGAAGCCATGTGCAGCACCAGAAATACGCTTCAAAAATTTAGACTGTGTCTGTCGCTTATTAACCTCCATTGGCGCTATGGCCGAGGCAAAGTATAGTCTGTGTTCTTCTTTTATAACGCCTCAGCCGCACATATTCTGACTATTTTCAACAGATATCTGATTAAACAAAACCCAATTCAAATTTCCCAGTTAAGGCATGTATTTTAATATAAGCAAAGCCAATAAAACAATCATATATTATATTAAACAAAAGAAAAATAATTTTCCTCGAAACGGGTCAAGGGATGAAGACAAAAACCTGGTATGCACTTGAAATCATGACCGAAAACTTCCTTTTTTGTCACCCTTTTCATCCATAATTTTTGACAGTTTAAAGATACCTGTTGATTCCATGGCTTAGGTCTACATCCTTCAAATTGCCAGAAAATGACCAAATTTAAAAATAGCACCCCCCCAAAAAAAATACTTATAATGTTCGTTCTATATAATGTTCGTTCTATACCGTGTATAACCAATGATCATTACTAATTGCATCCGACAATCGCTTATGCGCATGCGTGTAATAAATCCATTTTATGACTAATGGTCCACCGGGGGAGGAGCGGGGTGTTTACCTTTTTTGCGTATACGATGTGCATGATGTGTACAAACATGAACAACGCCACTAGAGTCACGTGGTCTTTGATCTTAAACATCTGTATAGATGTACGTGTTTCAACAAACTGCCAATAGATGACGGGTCTGTGACATTTGAACCCAGCTACTACAAAGACGTGTACTCGGCGCTGTTGTGGAGCATTCGTTCAGTAGACATCAAGTTAAAAGCATCCAGTGCATTTCCGCCTCCTGACTTTGCTTTGGTTTTCAAGTCTGTTTGAACCTGAAATGTAAGCTTTGGATAAATGTGGCCACATTCGTTATGTCAGTTGCTTGGAAAGAAAAAAAGCCCTGGCATTATTAGATGTGTTCGTGATTAACGATGATCTGTCACGGATGTACATTGATACGACTTACACTGCTGCTTCTGTGCGAACTTCATTGAAAGTACAAACCGCGCAACAGCCGAGTTAATCTGCGGTGGGGGGGGGGGGGGGCGTGGGATGACACAATTTTATGTAAAAGGTTCGCACTGGTGTACGTCTCACATGGCGATACGACCATCACTGCAAGTTTCTTACTGTCATTCGTTTTCTCCCTCACTTTCTAGATTAGCCAGAATGAAGGTTTACATGTGCCTGCTTCTCCTGATGGTCGTTGGATGTGCCTTGTGTTTCGCAGACACGGACGGTAAGTTAATGTTTCATTATCCCTACGGTTCCGACATATATAGCAGTATCCTTGTAGCCACATTCGCACAGCCCCGTGGATATAATGCTTGGAGTAAATATATTTTGATTCAATTTTGGATTAATTATTATAGTCTGTAGGCCTACCCACATTAAAATAAAAGTTTAAGTTTCTTCGTAGAGGAAAGAACACCCACTGTCAACATTTCTCAAATCCCTTTGCTTAATTTCTGATGATGTTCCATCTTATTAAAATTTAGAGAAAAAAAACTTAGCTTACACACCGACTTTAAGCCAAAAAAAATATGTCTCCGGTTTCTGGTATGGAGCTTGCCCAAAAAGTGGTGCGGCGACGCGGCTTCTTTTGTTTTTTTTACCTGATTTTTTTGCCTCAAATGTCGGCTGATGACTGCAAATGGTGCCCAACTAGACTTGGTGCAAATACATGGGAGTCCAGAGAAGCCACATAAAGCTTATTCTCGATCATAACCCCATCTAAAAACACGTTAAAATTGTGCAGTAGCAGGATTCCAGTCAAACCAGTGAATTTGGCGGTTTTGAGACATCATCTTTTATTGAAAAAAACCTTTTTCATTTTGCCGACGCGCATGGCTACGGTGACGCGCGCGCATACCAGAAACCGGAGACTTTTTTTTTGCCTTAAAGAGGGCCGTAGGATGACCACTTTCGGCTGTTGTGCATTTCCCCCTAAACGTATGAGACTTGCATGTTCCAAGGATTTTTAATAAAAAAAATATTGATACTTTTTTTCCTTCACTTTTTTACACTATGACACTTGAATCGGTTATTTTTAATTCAAGATAATGTGAAGATAAGGTCGTGTGCAATTCATGTTACATTTGAGTGCACTGCATGAATTCAGCACCAAAATCCCCTGTTTAATGTCATGCAGACCTTCTTGCTGAGGAGTTGATGCAAGAACTGCAATCTCGCGAGATAGTGAAGAAGACATGTAAGTTCAGTGGTCTTGAGCAATATTTTTTCATGATAACTTGACGCAGGTTGGCACTTAACGACATGAATCGAAGCTTACTATTGAAAAGACGTGTTTGGTTTGAATGCTGTCCTGGGGAACGCTGTTGTAAATCTTGCAAATATCAACAAAGTTTTGTTCATTTTCATACAGAAGCTCTCATATTCACAATACTTTCCCTGCTAAATCAAAAGGGTTCTCTAATTGCATTGAAAACATTAAAATGTCGTTTTTGTGCACAGTGCACACAGTATTCGTTTTTTTTTAAAAATGCATTCAAGGCGACATTTCCACTCTGTGCCGTCTACTTCCAATGAAATATCTGACAAACATCGAATACAATCATCGAATTAAGAACATAAGATTAAGTATTTTTTCTACTCCGTTTATAGGCAATCAATTTATACTGTCAAGAGTTTATTCGCAAATATCAAGATTGATTATTCACACACTGAGTGTACGATTCTCTATTCACAGGGTGTTGTTCTTGGCGTTTGCCGCTAATTAAATCAAGTCTATCCTGTCGTTTGCCTTACTTAAAGTTTGCATTGTTTTGAACCTGAAGACAAAAAAATATTCATATTTTATTCTTCATTGCCTTGTAATTCTTTGAACTGGTCCTTTTATTATTTTGGTTAATTTCTGTTCACTCGGAACATGTTGAAATCTGAAAGCAAAGGGCAAAAAAAAATTGCAGGCCGACATTTGAATGAATTATGTGTGTCCATTGAGAAAATTTAACTCTTGGCAAACTTCGTAATAAACTGTCGTTGACGAATTTGAAGAAAAGAATGCCATTTGAAGTTGAACGAAATTATTTGTCATGCCATCCATTGTTTAACTTAGAGAAGCAAATATGTTTGTTTCTGGGACTAAATGTATTAATTTTCAAATAAAACTAACTGAAAGGGCCTGTTTGAAATTGAACCATCTTTTTTAAGAGTGAGGGGGGGGGGGGTGTTGAAATTGGCCGGACTCCGATATTCTAGATTTACATTTCTTCAACATCATTCTTCTGAGAAACAACGATATCTGAAATTTGGAACTGGTCCCCTTTTCTTTGTGGTATAAAAAGAAATAGTTTGAGGCTTTTACCTACATGGTAATTTGTCTTGGACGAGTGTAAACATGGACAGTGTTCTTTGAAGCTCCCTTCAACAGGTTATCCACACGAATTCTTCTCTACGAGTCATTCACTACCATGTTGGTTTTCTGTTTCAGATTGCACATCTGAGGCCGATTGTTCTCGTTTAAGGACATGTTGGTTTGGCCGGTGCGTGGATTACTGACAATCAACATGAATGACTTAAACCATGGTAAGCCCATCATTATCGATAGTTTGTAACAATTCGTAAAGATGCTTATGAAAATTGTGTAAATGGAGGCGAAATATCTGTGGTACTGTAATAGTCACGTGGTATGTCAGGTTGTTTATTGCACGCTATATTGCAGCACCCTATGTCTTATGGGAAGCTTAGGGGGTTGGGCCAATTTTGGGGGGCACACTATCATAGCATAGCGCGATTTTCGGGCATTGGTCGGCGGCCCGGGCTTGTACGCTCAACCGGCGGTCACCGGTCACGTTACCGTCCATTGCACGGTGAAATTGCGCCGGCGTGGCCGGCAAGACTTTTCATGCAAGACGGCCAGACCTTATTTTGCACTCGCACTTGTTTTTCAAGTATATGTCTAGTGTTGCGAAAACTCTTTCTTTGCGCGGATGCAGACCTGGCCTGTAAATAGGCCCAGAATTTCCTGCGCGGGCCAAATCACATTTGTTCACTGCAAAAACTGTAGTGTTAATTTAGCACCATTCGGTATCTATATAGGACAACACCAGTACAATTTAACACCAGATGGTCCTATATAGCTACCAGTAGTGTAAATTTAACACTGCAGTTTTTGCAGTGTGCTCTCAAATTCTTTGCTATTAGATACATGTGTCGGCCATGCACTTGAAGGATTTTTAGAAAAGATGGGTGGAAGCTGTGCACAGGAGTATGAACTCGTATATTTCTGTGAAATCCGCCTGAAATTGGGCCTTAAAATTGCTCAATTTGGCAATGGGGCGCAGCCAGCATTTTTCAAAAATGGCCGTGGGCCACAGGCAAACTTTTCGGGGTGATCATCTTTGGATGGAATTGTCTCCCTAATGTCATGGGATAACTTAACAAAAATGTGAGCGGAAAATGAAAGACTCTGAAATGAGCTTTAATTTGATAGGTGTCGCAAACACCTTGGATAGATGTGAGTATGTTTTTATCAATATTTTTCATAAGTACGTGTAGTTATCAATGAGGTCTATGAGAGTCAATTTGCAGGTTTGCACCCTTAAAGGGAATATACAACATTTGAAAACATTAAAAAACCACCAAAAAAATACCAAATGATCACGAAAAAACATTAATGGAGTGTAAATGAATGCCAGTCTAAAGCATCCTGTAAAATCATGGCACCTGTTGTGTGGTCATTTTCAAGAAAAGTGCTATTTCTGTATTGATTTCCAACGCTGGTCGGCCGACCAGCGTTGGAAAAAAACTGGCTTTTTCAAATACTGCTCCTAATTTATCATGTTTAGTTCGTTCGCATTTTCTTTGAAATCGATTGCACACCTGTGAACGGGTGCAAGCCAGCTAGACTGATTTCCAGACCTTACAATTACCCGACATCTATAAATTGCTCCGTTTCAAGTGAGGTGGGGTCAGGGAAACAGACTGCACGAAAATTATTGTTTTTCTTGATTTTCCAGCATCTACGAACCCAAAATGTCAATCAAGTCGGTTTCACAATATTTGCTATAAAGTAATAACCCCCAAAGTCCATACATTTCTGAAAATTACAGCAAAAGCAAATGGTGTATATTCCCTTTAAGACATTAAATGCATACATAACAATCGTTAGTAAGTCTAAACGTTTGGTCCTCTGAAACGTCTCTATCGTAAGTCCTTGTATAAATCATGTTGTTGTTTTTTCCCTTTTATTTTCTCCATGCAGTTCGTCAGTGAATGACCGACAGCAAGTCTTTATTTTGATTAAATATAAATATTTGATATTCATTCGGCTCAGATCTTCTTGTTACAACAAGATTGTCTCAATTTTGTTGTAACAACACTAGGTCCGTGTTCCAGCTTTCCCCCCGTTGATTCCGTAACAGTACTGTTTTTTTGGAAAAGCTGCTCACTGTACATTTTAAGAGTGATATTAAAACCAAAATGAAACAAAAATATATATTATCGATCCATGAATATATTTAACTATCGGCACATTTGAATTTTTCGCAGAACGCATACAAATCCTGAAGATAAATTCTTCTCTTCTCTCATTTAAGTGACACGAATTATAAGCTCGAGCATGGACTTAATAAAAATGATGTCAACTATTTGTTATGTCAAAAAAAAATATATACGTTAACTTCTAGTTTGTTTCTGTCCGAAATGTTTTTGTTCTTGGGTTTTTGGGTATAGGTCTATTACTGGTGCGTGGTTATCATCTTCCGTGATGATAGGTTAAATCCACTTTTAAAATATTCGTTCATATTCTTCCTGCATGTATCGCATAAGCAACGCTGGGATATGTAGAAACGTTTGCATCCGAGGATTTTTGTTTTGGAAAAGGCGGAACACTTTCTTAGGGTTAGCCACCAATCTTTCTTCATTTAAAAATTCGTAATATAAAAAGCCGTTTCCTCTCCGAGTGATCCCCGTGTGCCATTTCCCAGGTGTGTATCGTAACTTTGGGTGTGATCCCTGGCTGTATGGCATACTGGTTTATGGCTTCTGACTAGCGCCCCTCGAACAAAGATATTGACTAATTGGGGAGCCGCCAACATAGGGCTGGATAGCTCAGTTGGTAGAGCACCAACAGTTATCGGTAATCCGGAGGTCGCAGGTCCAAGCCCCACTCCAGTTAATTCCTTTGTTCAATTTTTCAATACATTTAGCCTATAAGTTAGATTAAAAGCTTGTTAAGAAAGCTGAGTCACTACATTTTGGGTTCGATATATGCATTCCAGTATAAACGTATAGCAATACCATCATAAATAGCCATATGTCAACTATAGTACCATTACCAAAGTTGGGGCGTAAAAGCAATGGTTCTATAATACAGGGAAGAGGTTTACGTGTGATTTTACTTTGTTGCTCAAGACGAAATCCGAAAGAATACTATTCCTTTGAAAATGATAATTGCTATATCAATGTAAATAGTGCAATTTGGTTGTGTAAAATACTCAGCCATACTGTACCTCTTTGTTACAAATCTCAGATAGGCTGTTCTTGATGGAATTTATTCTCATAACAGGTGTTTGTTCACTTTAAAAGAATATCTTATTTGTTAAACAGGGCTTTGAAATTATTCGATATTAATTGAATGCAGGCTATTTCTAATCCCTTTAGATGTTTCCTGTTTCGTCAACGTAGTGTGAATGATATAGCAAAATAAATTGACTCTTGCATACAAAAAAATTGTTAGTGTCATCCTTGTTATTTGATTGTGTTTTCAAACCCTTTCATCTTTACTTGCAAACTTGAAAAAGTGTAAACAAAATTGGTCATGAAAAGGTATAAGGGACGCCCTCTTTATACCCAATCTGTCTGTAAAGGCCTGTGTGCATTATTGTCCTTTTACCATGACCCACACCTAGTAAATTAGTGCGTCTGATTTTGAGGATGTGTGCGAACCTTTGCCGTCGTTATACCGGTTTAAATCCTAGATATAATATTATAGTGTTCCCTTGGGTTATGAAAGCAATGGGAAGCTCAAGCAAAAATAGAGAGCATGAGAACACATCTTCTATACAGGAAAAAAATATCACGTTTATTGAAACAAATTCACATTTATTAAAGCAACGACCCAGTCTATTTTCTGATTACGTTCGTCATAATTGATTGCAATCGTACCTCATTTTCCTTTCATACTTTAATGCAGAAAAGTAAAGCTCCCAACAGTGTAGCCATCATTCTTTCCTTAGCTCAGTGCAGAATTTTATTATACCCATGCAAAGACAGAAAAGCAATAAAACATTTATTTTTTAGATAAACATTATGTTGACGTCTATTCTGATGTCCATCGATTCTCATGATAACGTTTTTGAGTCTGAGCTATACAGTGGCGTAGGAAGTGGTAGGGGGAGGGTAAGGGGGTACCCCCGATATTTTGTAACGAGTGCCTTTTTTCACAAGCACCTTTTTCAGTGAGTGCCCCTAATTTTTTGAGCGACGGCAACTGTTCCATCAAGAAAAGCGCCACGCTTTGAACAGCGCCCCCGAAAAAGATGGTGTCCAAACAATATTTGTGTAGGGCGTGCATTATGTTAGATTTTTTTGTAAAGCCTTGAAGCATGTATTTTTGTTTAGATACTGTCGTAGCATATGTTGCATATAGACTCTATGGACGTTATAGAGGCTCTGACAAACACCATATTGAAGTTTATAGATACTGATTCAAATTGTGAGAAGCCATGTGCAGCACCAGAAATGCGCTTCAAAAATTTAGACTGTATCTGTCGCTTATTAACCTCCATTGGCGCTATGGCCGAGGCAGCAACACGTTCAAATAAAGTAAACAGCTACCAAACAGTCTTGTTTGCGTATGACCGGTCACCAGCTGCTCACCGTTTTAGAATTGTTCGAGTTTTCTCTCTTTCTTTTCTTTTTTGGACAATAAATAATTCACCAAGAATCTTTTTCAAAAACTTTTTACAGGTGTTTGAACTTGAAACTTCAACCCTGATAATAATGAGGTGTGCATATCACAACAATGCACGATGACATCATCAGTATCAAATTACAAGCGATTTTAGTTATTTGTACCTACTTACATTTGCAAAGAGCAAATCAACTGCGCCGTTTGTGATTCTTACACGGCTGATCAACCCATCAGACAGAACCTGGTGGCTCTTTAGATATCAGCAAGATTTGGTGCTAGCTCTTTTTTCTGCGTTCTTTGTCTGACGTATTTTTCCAGCTAATAATTATCCGCAAGTTTGCTTTTAATAGGAAAACGCAGGAACTGAAACTTGGTGTGAACATGAACTCTGATTCCAAAATGTACATGCTACAAGTGTGTTATAACCTTTAAGGGAAGCATTTTACTATAATACAAAATGGGCCCGCTTTTACAGAAACAAAAGCATGACGATGTCATCATTCGAAAGGACGCCCCTAGCGACAAGCAACAAAAAAGTGTTTTATAAATTTTAAAAGCCGCATTCACCAAAACTTCACTCAGATTGCCCGTAAACGTTCTTTGCACACAAACAAACGATTTGGAATGTTTTGAATCGAGACTTCATCAGACCGGAAGTAGCTTTAGTGAAATTTGCTAAAGATCTTTTTTTTCACTTGTTCGCCCGATAGGGATTCTTTTTTAATCTTTGGTTTTCATTTCCGAAAGACCCTATTTTGGGCGCCCGACTTGAGGAAAAAAACCCGCATTTTATTTTATTACCGCCTACCCTGTTTGGAACCTCCATACGGAAGCCCGTTCGTGCCAGGTTTTGAAAGTAAAAAAAATATTTTTATTGCGAAATAACGCAATACTTTTGCGAATTAACGCAATAGTATTGCGAAATAACGCAATAGTATTGCGAAATAACGCAATACTTTTGCGAAATAACGCAATAGTATTGCGAAACAACGCAGTACTATTGGCGAAATAACGCAATAAATGTTTTGCGAAATAACGCAATAGAATTGCGAAATAACGCAATAGTTTTGCGAAATAACGCAATAGTATTCCATTATTTCGCAATAGTATTGCGAAATAACGCAATAGTTGCGAAATAACGCAATAGTTTTGCGAAATAACGCAATAAATGTTTTGCGAAATAACGCAATAAATGTATTGCGAAATAACGCAATAGTATTGCGAAATAACGCAATACTTATTGCGAAATAACGCAATACTATGGGAAGAGTTCCTCAGAACGGAAGTAACTTTTTTTGGAATTCGAAAAAGATCATCTTTTTCTCGTTCGCCTGATAGAGGATTCTTTTCTTTTTTATTCTTTGGTTTTCATTTCCGAAAGACCCTATTTTGGGCGCCCGACTTGAGGAAAAAAACCCGCATTTTATTTTATTACCGCCTACCCTGTTTGGAACCTCCATACGGAAGCCCGTTCGTGCCAGGTTTTGAAAGTAAAAAAAATATTTTTATTGCGAAATAACGCAATACTTTTGCGAATTAACGCAATAGTATTGCGAAATAACGCAATAGTATTGCGAAATAACGCAATACTTTTGCGAAATAACGCAATAGTATTGCGAAACAACGCAGTACTATTGGCGAAATAACGCAATAAATGTTTTGCGAAATAACGCAATAGAATTGCGAAATAACGCAATAGTTTTGCGAAATAACGCAATAGTATTCCATTATTTCGCAATAGTATTGCGAAATAACGCAATAGTTGCGAAATAACGCAATAGTTTTGCGAAATAACGCAATAAATGTTTTGCGAAATAACGCAATAAATGTATTGCGAAATAACGCAATAGTATTGCGAAATAACGCAATACTTATTGCGAAATAACGCAATACTTTTTGCGAAATAACGCAATAGTTATTGCGAAATTTCCTTAATAATTATTGTGAAATAACGCAATACTAATTTGCGAAATAACGCAATAGTTTTGCGGAATAACGCAATAGTTTTTGTTCAATAAACCCAATGTTTTTTTAGAAAAAAAATGCACGAGTACGAATAGTTGAACCTATATGCCTACTTCGGCCTACTTGAGGCCTACTTATAGGCAAATTCTCACGTCATATTTTCTGACAGATACAGTTTGTATGGTGTATAAAACCCACCATGCATGGCGGATCCTGGATTTGTAAAGGGGGTTAGCGGATGACAAGTAATAAATAGGACCAAAGACCTAAAACACGTTACTAGAGATTGTATAACGAGATTGTTATCTCACGATTCTCAGGAACATTGGGATTTTCTACCCAGTTGGCATTTTTCCAGACGGAAGATGATGGTTAATCATCCCAACCATCCCCATAACCCACCACTGCCTAGTGACCCCCATAAAACACATTTTAGCTTTAAGAACAAATGGAGACTTAAAAGTATAGTTCTTTTTTAAAAACTTTTGAAAATTCGTTCAAAAAACTCTTATGCAGCACCATATGTAGCAAGGTCATTTTGATGGGGGAGGGGTGAAGTGAAAAGGGGCACTCGCCTCATCCATGCTGAAAATTAGACATATTTCACCAATCACTCGGCCTCCGTAAAATAAAAAAGGGAGTGGGACGGAGAGAGACTGGACACCATCTTCTTATGGGGGCGCTGTTCAAAGCGGACGATCATGGGCACCATCAGGCAAACAGGTTGCGCTTTTCTTGGCGGCACAATTGCCGACGTTCAAAAAAAGGGCACTCATGAACAAATGGGCGCTCGTGAAAAGGGCACTCGTGAAAAAAAGAGAGCTCTCGTTATAAAAGGGGGGGGGTGTTAAATTCCCCCCCCCCTTCCCGCTGGCTACGCCAGTGTATAGCTCAGATTGAAAAACAGAACCAGCGTCAATCCATATCAGTACAGACATCATTGAAGTCGTTGGAATTCATGCAACATAATTGTGTTTATCTAAAAACAAATATTGTATTGCTATATTGTCTTGAATGGGAATAATGAAATTCTGCTCTGAGCTAAGGACAGAATGATGGCTACACTGATTGCAACATTACTTTCTGAATTCAAATACAAGAGGACAAAATGAGGTACGATTGCAATCAACTATGGCGAACGTAATCAGAAAAT